AGAAGAGGATTATTTTGGCCATTGTTAAACTGATGTCTCATTAAGCAAAAACACTAAGGAACGCCAAGTACGGTTCTCTTGCTTCAGCGAATCCGGAATTATAGACATACACTTGGAGTTTACTTGGGAGATGTCATCCGATAAACATTGATGCTCAGCCAAGACTTGTATAGGGTTTGAGTTCAGTTTGTGGATGTCTGGAAAGAAACAACAAAAAAAAACGCTGTAAAAACCAATTTGGGATTATTCATGTCTACTCCTTCAATTCCTTGAGCCTCCCCTGGGAGATGCCCGGAAGAAAGTTGGCTACTGGGCTGCCACTTTCTTCAGGTGATCTGAAATGTTTTTGCATTCCCCCACCTTGCGAAAAATGAATATGGTTCTTATTTGTGATTTCCTGAAAATCTAAATAAGATTTTCATTGGGTTTGCACACATTGGCATGGCAAAACGTACACAAAATACCTCTGGTGCACCTTATTTTTGGGTGCCATGTTCCCACAAGTGTCACTGTTCATTGGGTTTGCATGGTGTAAAGGTACGCGCAATGCATTTTGCGGATTTTTGGTCCCCAAAATTCTCATGGAAACCACAAGCTTCTAACAATTACCACATGTCTTGGATTATTTGCCATACTGCATTGATATCGCAACGTAACACTGATCTATTAGTTCGTTGGTTTGTCTATAAGTCTATGTCTCAAATTTATTTATTTCTCTCTCTCTCTCTGTTTCGATGCAGTGAGCTGAAACTTTGAAGCGAATTCCACTAAACTAGATCCTCCCACGTAATGTGGGTAGACCCTATATCCAGTACATGTAGACCAAACTTCGCATGTAATTTGTCAGTAGTGTTTAAACCGTCAAGAAAGCGCAGAGGAGACATGGGAGAAGCTAAAAACAATCATCATGCAGGTACATGGTCACAACAATCAACTACCCAGTCTGAACAGATCTCACAAGTTAACCTTTGCCAATTCAACGACTCCGCGGGCGTGTCTTTGAACTCACAAGGATCGTCAATGAATCGACAGTTTCATCGCAAAAAGTTCGTCAATGTTCGTCAATTTCCAACAAAGTTCGCCAATTTTCCGAAAAGTTAGTTAATAGTTGTTAAATAATATTTTTTAAAGTTCATCAATTTTCAAAAAAATGTTCACTTTTTCATGTTTGTCAATGTTCACAAAAGTACGTCACTATTTTTTTCAAGTTCGTCAATTTTCGCAAAAGTTCGTCAATATGTTTTTATGTTCGTTAATTTCCCAAAGTTCGTCAATATTTTTTCAAGTTCGTCAATTTTCTCAAAAGTTCGTCAATTTTCTCAAAAGTTCGTCAATTTCGCAAAAGTTCGTCAATTTCCCCAAAAGTTCGTCAATTTTCCCAAAAGTTCGTCAATTTTGCCAAAAGTTCGTCAATTTTCCCAAAAGTTCGTCAATTTCGCAAAAGTTCGTCAATTTCCCCAAAAGTTCGTCAATTTTCCCAAAAGTTCGTCAATTTTCCCAAAAGTTCGTCAATTTTCCCAAAAGTTCGTCAATAATTTGTAAGTTCGTCAATGTTCGTCAATTTCACCAAAAAGTTCGTCAATAAATGCAAAAAACCCAGGGAAAAGTTCGTCAATATTGACGAACTTTTTGGGAAATTGACGAACATTGACGAACTCTTGGGAAAATTGACGAACTTTTGGGAAAATTGACGAACTCTTGGGAAAATTGACGAACTTTTGGCAAATTGACGAACTTTTGGCAAATTGACGAACTTTTGGGAAAATAGACGAACTTGAAAACATATTGACGAACTTTTGAGAAAATTGACGAACTTTTGAGAAAATTGACGAACTTGAAAAAATATTGACGAACTTTGGGAAATTAACGAACATAAAAACATATTGACGAACTTTTGGAAAAATTGACGAACTTGAAGAAATATTGACGAACTTTTGGGAAAATTGACGAACGCAAAAAAAATTGACGAACTTTTAGGAAAATTGACGAACGTAGTAAGAAAATATTGACGAAGTGACGAAGTTGAAAAAATATTGACGAACTTTTGGGAAAATTGACGAACGTTGACAAACTCTTCGGGACATTGAGGAACTCTTCGGGCTATTGACGAACCTCTTGGATTCACAGACAAAAAACCTCATGGATTCTTAGACGTTTTTTTTTGACTCATTGGCCATTAAGTAATTCCTGCATGGTCCATTTACCAGTTAAATGATATTAAATGATTAATAATGGTCATAAATGGGGTTATAATTCCATAAATGGGGTTACAACTGACTTATAAACTGGTAAAGGGCCATCACTGTGGTCAAATTTTGATTTATGGGAAAAAATCCGCGACAGCATCCACCCAACGATGTGCCCACCCGCACAGCAACATTGCAACTGCTGAAGGGCTGTTTGGCTTAAGATGTCACAACATGCCTAGGGAGGGGGAAAGGGGCAAGGAGAAAAAGGTAGCCCAAATCCGGAGGCATTTCAATACATTTCAATGCGACTTTGATAACCAACTGTACTGTACTTCATTAGCAAATGGCAGAGGACATTTGCTTACTTATACCTGCCTACTAGTAACTAATATACTTGCTTATCAAAACCTGTTATTTGTTATTCGGGTCAAATTGGAAGTTACGAAACCTACCGTAAATCGCACTTCGGCATCCGTTTTAGCACATTGACTGTGACAAACACTCGGTATTTTTAACTTCTCTCCTGGGCACAGGCAAGCCTCATAAACTTCATCCCCAAACCCAAAGCAATATTCAAGCTTGGGTGCTCATGATATCCATATGGATGCGTGTTCCCTTCTTGTCCCCGTTCCAGAGATGTTTTATTTTGTATACTTTTTGCAAATGGCAGCTTCAAAGCAATCTTCAAAACTGAAAAACAAATTTGCAAAACGGCCTGAAAATCCAGGATATTGGTCCAGGACCAAACAAGTCAAGCGCTCGTCAAAACCAAACATGTCTATACCGGTATTTTTCACCAAGAAAACTTTGATGATCCCCCAAATGGCGAAGCAGGCCTACAAAACGGCATTCAGGTTCAATTTTTTGTAGGTATGTAATGGTATATACATACATGAATTCTGGGACGATCATCTATCGAAGCTATCCACGTTTCATGTGTTGCCCACGATGGGGCACCAGGGGTCTCAGCAGGCAAGCAATCATGCACCAACCATTTGCGTAGAGGTTGGGTTGGGCGGTTTCATTTTTTGTACTGCCGTGTGATTCTTGCAAATAGATGTCGTCGCAACAGTTTGTGAGGGAGTGTTTTAGCCATCTTGTTGTGATTTTGATACGCTTTTGTGAGGGTGTTACATTTCCAGTGGGGCTCGCCCTGATCTTGGATTTCGCATTTTCATTGTTGTCCCTATCCTCGCAATCAGACCAAACCAATGGCTACAAATATAGTGGAGTAGCCTGTTGAGGCAGCCAAGCATGTTCTAACCATCTCAAGCCCTTTTGTATTTTTGGTTAAGCTATTCCATAGGTTCTTCAGTGATCTTTTAGGGATTCCTAGTTTCGATGGTTGCCTTTATCGTTTTAACATTCATGCCATCAATTTGCCGACAAATCCTGTGGATGTTCAAGGCTGTGTGGCGTTTGACTAGGTGTCCCCATTTGCAGATGCTTGTGTGGCTCGAAACAAATCCCCTCCAATTTTCGTATGTTGTCAGTGCCGTGACTCTTTGTCTCCTCCCTCTCTTCTTCTCTCCCGTAGAATATGGAATGTTCTGATGTTTTCTACATGCTGTTGTTGCGCGCTAACTGTGTGCTCCTCTAACTTGCTTTTTGTTCAGACAATTTTGTTCTTCAACAACTACAGCATGTTTACACCAACGAGGTTGCACATATTTGCACATCAAACAGCTTCGAGCAACCCACTCCACCAGCTAGTTTTCACACAAATCAGTCTTCTGACCAACCACCTTTCTACACTAACTATGGCAGCTTTCACATCATCCAGCTTTCCCCCTGGCCAGCTTTTATAGCAAACATCTCTTGCACCAACCAGCTCTTACCATGGTTTTACCCACACTAACTTTTACGCAAACCCATTTTATACAGAGAGCCAATTACATCCGAAGGAACTCTGACCTGTAGGCTCACAGGCCACATATAGGAGGCTGTTGATTCTCTTCGAAAACGGATAGACGTGGCTATAATTTGAAATCCACATGACCATTATGGTAGCGCGTAGTGCTCCCAAAATGGAAGCGGGTAGCGGTCCCAAAATGGAAGCGCGTAGCGTTCCCAAAATGGAAGCCCATAGTGCTCCCATAACAGGGGTGCCCATGGGTGCCCCAAACGTTTTTTTTGTAAATAAAGAAAAAAGCTTTGGGCACCCCCCCGTAAGGGTTCTTGCACATCATTTTATTACTATTTTATGAACATGTGAAAAAATCTAACGATTATTTGTTCATCATATATTCATAAATGTATCAATTTTTTTTAAGCTGCTGCTCTAAGTGGTTTATTTTGATCCCTTTCCTCAAAACGGGCCAGCCCTTGTCTCCCAGAGGGAAAACAGAGCAAAACGGGGTTTCAAAAGAGTAACCAGAATGGTATTAGCATCATTAGGCTATAATTATGGTATACAGTCGCCCACTGGCTCAAACCCCAAATTATTAAAGGAAAATATGTTTTAAGTTTATGGACTTGTGTTGGTGACAATAGAAGCTCAACAAAATTGCACTGTGCTACACTTTTTGTTGGTTGTAATCCCATGTTTTTTGCTTATAACCCCATTGTTGCAGGGACACATGTTTTTTAACAGTTCAAAAAAATATATATCAAAATCACGTGTCCTTTGGTCCGAAGGCTCTGGAACATGTCCACCCGTAAAAGTCCCTCCCCCGAAAGGGGTCGTCGTCATTAGCATCTCAGACTGTCTTTCTGTTGTTCTTTTCTGGCTTGTTGAAGGCGCCTACGCAAGTGTAATTTTGCACTGCGAATATATGATATATATTTCATATTTAGTCTGGACCCGGCCAGGAGAAGAACTCTTCCGTGCCACTCGACGTATCCGACGTCATCTCAGCTCCTTGAGCAATCGCACTTTGGTTCTGCTGGCCGTTCTCTTGGCTCGTTCCTTGGCACCGATGTCACACGATGTCACATGATGTCACATGATGTCACACCTGGGGGTTTTGGGACAGTGAACATGGCAATTAAATCGACATAAATCGACCAATAAACTCCGAAAGTTTGCACTGTATGTTTATCAGGTTTTGATTGGCCAGAGCAACGTCTATTGAAGAAGTACAGCGCGGAGATTCGTGAATCATATCGAATGGCACGGATGCACCCGCACAATTTGGTGGTGATACTTCATGCCTATGGCAGGCGAGGCTTCTTGGGCTTGCGCTGAACCAGACTTGGATCGGAAAGAAAAATGAACCAAGGTTTCAAAGCTCTGAAACAATCTGAAACAGTTTCCAATGATAAACTTGTTGGAACTTGTTTCGTGTTTGATCATGTTTGCCTTCAGGCTCAGCGTCCGTGACGTGGAGTTGCTCAAGAGCATCAATGGCCAATTGATGAAAGCGGTCGAGCAGCTGGACCCTGCAGTGTGAAGAATCTTCAATAAATCAGGTTTATGAGGTGAGAGTGTCCAGAACGGCCGTTGTATTCCAGTATCCCAAAGCATTCAAAAAGATGACTTCCACGTTTGCCGTAGCCGCGTAGCCCCAGCTTGGACGCTGTTGCGGCTGTTGCATTGTCACGCAGGAAGGGAAGTATTTGACGATGGTGTGCCACTCCTTCGGGCGCCTTGGTGTGCGTGGACCGTTGTGGCAACAGCTGGGCCAACGAATCAACGAGCGCGTGGACTGGTTGGCTCCTGTGGACATGGCGTTGATGCTTGGCAGAAGCTGAGCAAAGATGGAATGATGGAATGATGATGGAATGATTCGGAAGCGGCAGAAGCTCTTCGTTTTGGGGATGCAGATGGATGAGCCTTGGGATGAGCTGACTGTGTCAGAGGGGTTCTGATGTGATCTAAGGATTGCTCATGGCTTTGGGAAGGCACAATACGGTTTTGCCTCCGTTTGCGTCTAAAGTGGAGATGCCGTGACCGACAATTGTTTTTTTCTCATTCCGCTGTGTTCTTTTTGCAGGTAGCCATTCGTGCCTTGGCAGCACTGCCTCAGGTAGCTCAACGGGATCAAGAGAGTTCGGCCTGCTAGGTCCAAGAAAATTCTTGAAACCATGTTGAAACCATGTGGAAACAACCCAATGACGTCGAGCTCCCGAGCTGTCTTGAAATGATCTTCACTCCGAGGCGACAAGGAAGTCCTGGCAGGGCCGTTTTCGGATGCCGCGCTGGTGTCTATCAGTGGATTCACTCCACAGCAGCTGTCGTGTTTGTTGGACGGCTTGACTTTGGCAGGAGCAGTTCTGCCTTGCCACTTTTGTTGTGAAGACCGAAAACTGAAGACAAACCCGTTTTGCAGAGCTCGCTTTTGGGGCTGCAAAGTCATGTTTCACTCCACACTCGGTGCAGGATGTTTGCGTGAAGATATGTTCTTTGCTGCCATGGAAGAAGCTTGGTTAAAACTTAAAACCGAAAACGATGCAATTCACAGCCCCTCATCCCCTCGCGATGGCAGTCAGCGTGACACCGATCTGAGGAATACATTCGCCAGGGATCCATAGGTGGACGTCAGCGACAGCACATGATGTCACGGATTCTTTTCACTGCGGCTTGGCAAATCTTGGAAATCATTTGGCAAATCATTTGGCAAAACTTGGGCCGAAGTTGGCAAAAGGGTCAAAAAGGGCACCCAGTGCTGCCAAGTATTGCCAAGTTGTATCCAAGTTGTATCCAAGTTGTATCCAAGTTGTATCCAAGTTGTAAATGTAACGTATATGTAACGTGTTCAGACAATTTTTTTTTACGTGGCGTAACGTAGATCAAGATGAGACAGACTTGGAATTCTTTCAAGCTCTGCCAAGGTGACATGAATCACATGAGTTGTGTGCCCGGTCACAGCTGGCACAGCCAAGGTCATGCTGGAACGCAAACACTTGCTGGAAGGGGTTTCACCTTCTTGGCAACCACTGTGCTTTCCTTAGTCCGTGAAGGGAATAGTGCGAAGCTTCTCTGTTGTCTTGTTGCATGTTCAGAGACACAATGAGACAGATGCATGTGGTGAAACCCTCCAAGACTGCAAGCAAGAGCCAAGCTAGTTTTTTTAACGTGTTTTTTTTCAATCTTTTTCCAATTTCCAACACTCGTTGTTTCACAAACCCGAGGCTGAGTCGAGTACATCATGCACCCATCGATGCGTCACTGGGACATTGTGACATATTGTGACATCTTGTGACTTCGTATGACCATAGCACCAGCCATGACATGCCACCGTAGCCTGAGGCCACCGCGGCCGTATCATCGAGAATTGGCCACGTGTGCTGCAGCTCTTTCCCTGAAAGCGCGCCCAAGACGTCGCAAAGGCCAATCCTACCCGAGCTGCTTTCGTGTTAGGTTCATGCGGCTTCTATAGGCAGAATTAGAACAGATACAGTAGATTTATATAGATTTATGTAATAATTCAATATGTAGATCAAGAAGCAGTTGAAGTAGTTGAAGTGGAGTCAAAGGGATTTTCAAGATCACTTCGAAATTCCTTGTTGCTGAAAATTAGAGAGTGCCTTGCAGACTTTTGACACGGTTTTGAATGTTGATTAGCGGGAAGTATTGTGGCGGGGCAAGGCTGGCAAAGTTGGGGACGTTCAAATAGTTCCTCTTAATCCATCTTAATCCTGTAGAAATTTCCAATAGGTCCGTACATCATCGACCTGTATGTTCCAGTGGATGTGCGGATCTCAGATAGGTTGAAATCCAAAGGAAACTGGGGTTGTTCACTTGGACCGTGATGTAAAAAACGAAAGTATTGAAAGAATTGCTTGGGGAGTGCTCTTTCACACACGCAACAATCTAGCATTCTCCACGGAAAGGCAGTCAAAGTGCATAGTTCAGGGGATCTTCAAGCTGTAGTTTCCTGTCGTTTCTTAAGTTGGAGCTTGAGTTTGCGAGGCACATGTGCCTGCCAGACCTTTTCCTGCAAACCAGTTCACCGTTTCGGGTCTGGCCATTCATCTCATGGCGGAAGCAGAGTTCTGCCCCATCACCGGCGAACTCTTGGGCCCAACGCGGCTACGACGACGTCACCTCCTCCAGATGGAGTCACAGTATCTGGATCTCTTTGGAACATTTGGAAAGGGTTAACGCGGTATTGCCCAGCGAGTCTTTTCAGGTTTGACGATCTTTGAATCCGATGTCTGCGGTGAACCAAGGCATCTTGGCCTTCGAAGAAAAGATTGGCTGGCGCTTCCAGATACAGAGGTCTGCAAGTCCACAGATGTCCACATCACTTTTTTGAGGTTTGTTGCTTCCTCTTCCACCTATCTTTAGGTACGAAAGGACCAATCTGAGTTACAAGAGTATTTTTTCATGACATAATTATTTGAATTGCTATCAACTCAAGATGTTTCTTTTTTTCCCATTGCTACATATTGCTACTTTCCATATCTTTCCATATCTTTCGATCAGGCGCGTGTCACAGAATTGGAAGCCTTGCTGGTGCAGCACGTGCCTCTTCGTCGTCGGCCTGTAGCCATCCTGGAGGAGGGTCGAAGATTTGACTCACAGCCTGAGACAAGCCATGACAAGCCCAACTGCCCAACTGTCCAACTGCCCAACTTCTCGTTGATTCTCGTTGATTCTCGTTGATTCTCGTTGATTCTCGTTGATTCTCGTTGATTTTTGCAGACTAGTACTGCCATTCATCATAAATGCAGCCATTATTCTATTCTACTGAAGTCAGCCCGTAGTGGCTTGCAGTGTATCTGCCTGAGTGCAGTTCATGCGTTTTGGAACAGCTCTGAAGCTCTGAGAGGTTGAAGGAAGTACCACAAGCACTCCTCAAATTGAGCCGCTTGTTGAAAGAGATTTGAAAGCCCTATAAAAGCGTTTGTATGCATTGTATGCGTTTGTTCATCTGTGTTGCTTCGAACGTCTTGCAACTTCCGTTTCGATATGTTTTGATGCATCGCCCAAGTTCTTGGACACAGAAAGACATAGAAACATCATAAAGACATAAAGACAGAAAAACTAAGACCATGTCGTGCATGTTCCCAGCCTGAGGTCTGGAGGAACGAGTCTTGAGGCAAATGAGAGCAAAAGTGGGGCGTGCATGAGACAGAATGAGACATAGACATGCTAGACATGCTAGACATGCTAGACATGCTAGACATGCTAGGGCAGCCGCAACTTTTGTCGTTTTCAGATTCTGATCGCGAGAGCCGTGACACGATGATACCTGTGACAGCTGTGACTGCTCGATGCGGCTCAAACCACGACGGCCGTCCGTTTGGCCCAGATCCCACAGTGCGTGGTGCGCCTTGGGGCCCCGCGGTGCCTGGCGCCATGAGCCTCGCAGCCAAGTTGCACGGCGAGGCGCGAAGCGCAAAGGAACCCAGGACATCCCAGGACTGTGAAATGCGACATGTGATGACTCAATGAGACCCAATGTTGTGACATGTTATGACACGTTGACACGTTGAGATTATAGCCAATTATAGCATTCAAAATTTTGAGTTTGCAAGATTTGCTAGGCAATGCTGGTGAAGATAGAAAGAGACGTTATGCGCACACAGCCGCGACCTCAAGCTGGGAGAGCTGGGAGAGCTGGGAGAGCTGGGGATTTCGGAGATTTCCCCAGTGTCTGTCTGTTTGTCTGCCCGTCCGTCCCTCCGTCCGTCTGTCTGGCCCACTACCACCACCACCACCAGCACCAGCAACATCATCATCATCATCATCATCATCACCAGCAGCACCAGCAGCATTATCATCATTCTGTCCGTGTCCCTTGGCACCCCTCTTGAGTTTTGTTTCATATTTCTGAGGTTGCATTTTTGCCAATGTATTTCATATTTCAATCAATCTATTTCAATATATTTCAATATACTTCAGTCTATTTCAATATATCATCATATATTTCCAATTTCAATATAGTGTCAAAAGTATCAACAGGTTCTTTCCGGTGAGTTCTGATTACCTTCGTCCATGCAAGGCAAAGTTCCAACCGTGTTGCCGCAGCACTGGTGGGACTGCAGCAGGTGTCGTCCAGGGCCCAGAGAACCATGGATCAATCCCATTAAGCCTTGCAACAAACCGATTGTAAACCGATTGTATAAAGATTATAAAGGCATATAAAGGCCCAAACATTCATAAGCTCCCGTGGACCAAGCATCCTTGAGGCAGATGGAACGCATGCAAGTCGAGCAGTTTATCCGGGAACGAGAAATGTTACGTCAGATGGCCGCGTCCCCAAAAACACGCCATGCATTTCCATACATTGCCATCCAGGTGATAGAAAGACAACATCATGACAACATCATGACAACATCATGACAACATCAAACAACAGGAAATGCATGGAAATGCTATGTAGCATGTGGTCCCGTAGGAGATGTTCAACAATGCTAGGCAAGTCTGTGGGGCTCTTTGCCAGTGCATGTCATATGCTCAGGTTGGTATTTCCAAAAGCAACAGCTTGGCAATCGAATCTGGGTGAAGAACTGTGAGTGAAGAGATGTGAAGTTCGCGGAAACTTTTGAAAGCGCACTCCTTTGGACAGTTTCACCATGGATTCAATCGGGTAAGGCATACAACAGGAAAAATGCTCCCATGTTGAGTGGCTTGCAAGTTGTCCAAGCGGGCATTCCTCACGGAAGTCATGACATAGGTTGTAGATGGTGTTGACATTGGGAAATTTATCAACTATTTTTCTTTCAAATTATTTCAACAAAAAATCTTGCAATTAATTTAGATCGGATGTGTAACATTGTAACATTTTTTTTTTTCGGTGAGCTTTCTGGCCTGAAACTTGGGACAGATGTCTCCACTGTTTCCACCATGTGCCATATGAGAAGCATCATTTTCGTGACGTTTGACGCGTCGTTGGCGTGTTTGAATCGCTTAATCCAATCTGAAGTGAATTGGAAGGTATGTAAAGGTGTATTGAGATGATGCTCCCATTGAATCCAATGCGACCACTAAAAATACCATAAACGAATATATAAATATACCATAGAACCACACGGAACATTATAGAGCTCCATGTCCAGCTGATTGCGTATTTTCAGAGCAATGTCGTGGCGGCCGTGGGTCGCAAATGCTGTGTGTCTTCAAGTGGCCACAGCCGCTCAGAGAATCTATTTAACCAATTTTCACAATTTTTTGTTGTCGGTAGTTGTCGTTTATGCAAATTCAGGGAGGGGTTTCCCCACTAGCTGCAGCTTGGGAGGCCCACTTGGGGACATGCCCTTTGCCTTGGTCCATTCTCCAGCCAAGCTGAGGCCTGGTTTGATTGGTTATGGGCTCCAGCTGAGTTGAAGTTGCTCGGATCTATTTGGAGATGCAAATGCAGTTGCATTGTTGCTACAATAGACCATAACAGAACCTTAATAGAACATAATAGAACTGTGTTTTTCTCGAAATAGCTTGCAACACTTTGCAACACTTTGCAAATCTGTCCAAATCAGAATCAGATGCATCCCAAAGCTATTAGCGCCATTTTGGGGTGTACAATGTATACAATGGCAAACCGGTTCAAAAGTTCTGCGAGCGAGGTTTGACCTCAGCGATGTTCCCCCCTTGGTGTCGTCAGAGATCTTCCCCGATGACTACCGACAAGAGATGACCTGGGGAACATACAGGCGTGGTGTATCAATGGTATGGTGAGTATCAGGGGACCCCTGCATCAAACAGTGCTGGTGCTTAAATAAAGAGAGACATGAAAAAACCATAGAAACCCGCAATCACTAAAAGACGAATTGTCTCATTGAAACCTGAGACGTTCGAGGCCGGGCGTTTACTTCGGAGTAAAGGGCCGCCACCCAGGGTCGTTGCTCTTCGGTCTCGCCTGGGCTTCTGTGGACGGCAAAATCCTGCGCCATGAGAACCTCGGTTTGGAGGGAAAAACAACCGCGAATCCCCCGGAATCCCACAGTACCCGGTACATCCCGGTACTACCCAGTCTGAGAAGTACAGAAACTGTCAACACCAAATCATGGCAACATATGGCAACCATTTTTGCTGCGTTTCTGTTTTGGTTTGATGATTTTGATGTGCATGGCCCCAATAAGGCCCCCCAACAAGGCCCACACAGCAATCACATAGCGTCCAGCACCCGTCCAGCTTAGGTGCGAATCTGGGGAGCTCCAAGCCTTCAGTTGGAAAGAACACGATGCCAGGCTGAAGGTCGTTACATGTCGTTGCGAAGATGTCCGAGTCGTGGAGTCGCGGATTTGTGTGTTGATGTCATTGATGTCTTGTTGGTTTACTGAAACATACTGAAACCAAGGATGGTCGAAACTATGGATATCAAAGCATTGAAGATCAGAAGTTGGGCCATGAGCTGCTTACAACCTTCGTGAAGGCCCGATGCAATAGGATCCCATTCACAAGGAAACCCTTTGCAGTAGGCACAGGCACTTTGTACCATACGTAGAGGTGTAGCAATGTGTAAGTCTGAGACGTTTCCCATGGTTTGGATGCGAGTCCGGCAGGAAGACGCCCGCAAATGGCACGCGCGCATTGAGGTGAGGCCCTTGGGTCAGGAGCCTCAGAGATGTCACAATGTCACAAGAGTTTTCTCCTGTGAATTGCTATGGATAATATGGATTGATATGGATTGCAATACACTGAAGTATGTGCAACCTACGATGTTGGGACTGAGGTGTCAAGTCAAAGCCCATCTCTTTGATGCCCTATTTGGGCATTGAGGCCCCCAGAAAGCTCAACTGTGAAGCCACATTTTAGGTGATATTGATGCAACATGATGCAACATGATGCAGCCAACATGGATCTGGCGAAACCGCTAGGCCGACAGCACCTTGCGAGTGGAAGGCCAAGGCCAAGAAGGCCAAGGCCCTGGCGCATGGTTGGGCTCCGCTGGTGACTGGTGCCGAGCTCAGCCTATCTCGGCCTCTCCGGGCCTCTCCGCAGCGCAGCAATTGGGATCTGAGGCGGAGATCGTTGAAGATCTTCGGGGAAGATCCCATTGTAGGTCCCTTCAGCGCATTGCTGTCCTTCAGGCGAGACCTCCAAGACCTGTGCACTGTTAAAAATCGTTAAAGTAGAAGAGCTATTTGGATCCCACATGACCAAAAGTTGCTACAAGTTGCTAGATGTCGCAAAATGTCGTAAGAGTTCCTGATGATTATTGACAATATTCTTGCATCAATATAGTTGTTATATTGAGATACGATGAGATATTCCCAAGATATTCCCACGTCTTTTCGTATTTTTCGTTATCGAAAATGTCATCTCGATATGTCATCTCTCGTTCCTTCGAAGGTCGAGTGCAGTGTCAAAGCCACACTTTCATCACGTCTCGGTGCGGGACACGGCCGCTCTTGAGACGCTCTTGAGCCGCTTCTGTCAGGCGATGTCAGGACTGTGCTACTCGATGCTGAGGCCCTTGTTCAACATGAAGCCGATGCACCAAGCACAGGCCCACGGCCCGAGGTCAGTCATAAAGTCTGTAGTTAAAGTATGTTAAAGTTAAAGATAAGAAATTAGTTGACTCAGACATTGCTTTAACTTCTTCACACATCTCATACGTGTTGCATTATTCATCAAAATGCAATCATAGGCACACAACAGGAAGAAACATGTCAGGCGCTTCCCAGAAGCCAATGGTTTGATACGTGATTGTAATTTTCCAACAGTTGTCCTGTGCCCGGGCCCATCACATTCCACCTATGATGAGACCCTGCTCACCTGCGACAAGGTGTTTGGGACGCAAAACGCCATGTGAAAGCATTCCTCCGACGACCCCCTGCAACTGATGGAAAGAAAGCCAAGCATGTGGTGCTGCCAGTGTCTTTGTCAAGGATTTTCCGGAAAATGTTGGGTGGGCTGAAGTAAAACCGAACGTGCAGATGCTCCTTTTAAAGCAGAACGAGGTAGAACTGAGGTGACACCTTCGTGCGAGATGCTCCTTCTAGGTGATGTATCAATAACTAGAGGAGTCATTGGGCCAGAACACACACGAAAACAGGGAAATTTGATCCACCCGATATATATGATATCAATCGTATCATATCATATCATATCATTTCATATATCATACATCATATATCATATATCATTGTATCACATAATATCACATAGTATTCCCCAGTGTCGCATATGAGTCTTGATGACTTTCTACGCAGTGAGATCCAAGGACAGCGATGCAGCAGGGTCCAACTTCATGGCCGCTCAGCTGCTCGGAAATGCGTCGCTGCAAGTGGATTTGCACGTGAGCTTCGGAAGGTGCTTCCGGAGATTTGGAAATGGCAAATTCTTGGGGTCAGCAACAACGATCGTTAAAAACACCAAAGTTTATTCGAAACACATCAAGATGATAGATATTAACAATGTTTACTTCGGAAACCCAAGTGAATCTGAGAGTCTCCAAATCATCCACATCAATCCAAATTGAAAGTACGACTAACGGACTTGCCAGACCAACAGACTTGCCACTTGCAGACCAATCGCTGACGTCGATGCTGAGAGCAAAATGTTGGAGGATGCCGTGGCACGTCGGTCGCAGGAGTTCAAAAGGCCTCGTCATGGCATGGCGCCGTTGGTTGAATCCATTGAGATGGTGAGATGTGTTGGAAAAGTATGGAAAAGTAAGGAAAAATCCCGGATGTAGCTGGGATATTGCAAGATATTGCGATATCCACGCAAAAAGTATAGAAGATATAGAAGGGGATCTTAGATGGACCCGTTTGACTGGTCAGGCAGCTATCAGATGCTTTTGAACTGTCAAAGCTTACAGCTTTGAGCCTCGCACGACAAAATTCAGATGGGGCTTTGCTTGAATGAACTGATGATCCTCAAAGCACAGGGCATCACAGGTTTTCAAACAGTGGTTTCACTGCGGAAAACATAGCGAACATTTCGTCATCGTTGGAATGGATTTTGCAATGATGTGAAGGAGTGACATGGAGTGACAATGATGAAACATGATGAAACACGATGTCTTAGTGCTGGATTTGCAAGGACAGATGGTAACCTGAGCATCCAGGCGCAGAAAGACGCCCTGGCAATGGCAGTCTCTTCCCTTCTCGGGGGATTGGGCAGTTTCCGAG